ATTAGCTTTAGCACAAAACGTTTCAGTATCAGTTTTAGTATAAATATCCTGATGATTCAGCTCAACTCTCATAAAGACAAATTCTAACATGTGCTGAGTGTGATTCATGGGAGTTCAGACCCGTGTAGCTCTCTCCCACCTTGGCTCTGAATGCTGTTTTTCACATTCTTGACCAGCAGCCAGTAGTAGAAGGAAAGCACAAACCACATCCACAACCACACTAATCCTGCGTAGGGACATACCCCCACTTCATCTTTGATGGATCAGACCATTTGCATAATCAGAAGCGATACATATATCCATGTCTTTTTATTTTTTGTCGTCCTGTCCTAATTTTGAATAAAAGCCTGAATGTTGAGGGGCTTTTTGTTAGCATCTCTGTCCGTTTAGTCACTCTTAGTCCATTAAAGCTGCCAACTAATCCTCCTTTACCCTCCATAGAGCATTAGAGGTGGCTGTCTTTTGTGGGATATACATGATCCCCTCTTTAAACCTGTCAAAGATGTATGCTGTGAACTAATCTGGCTGCTGGCGATGGTCGTGGGAACATCAAATGCAAATGAAAAATCTCATCGTGACTTCTGCGTCTTCGTTTTCCCTCTACTTCATTACTGAGACCCAACAAGAACACCAAAAAGGGATGCACTTTGGCCTCTGAAGGATTTGTGTTTTTATATCGCAGTTGGCTCCGGATCATTGTACATTAATGCGGGCTGATTAAACTCTCGTTAAATAGGAAACTCTGCTGCAACTGGCTGATTAAAACGAGAATGCTAACTTTTCAAACGTAAAACACTGCTGTGTGAAATCAGACACATTAAAAAGCTGTTTGTGGGTTCTGATGCAGCATGAAGTGCTCAAGGCGGTCAAGATGACGTTGCAGTCGCCTGCTTGTGATGCAAAATGACATTGATGCAGCTCTGAGAGTGTGGGAAACAGAGTTGCTTTTCCGTCTCTTTGAGAAAAAACACTCCAGAGAAAAATGGCAGGAAATCTCCAGGGCCTTTTGATTCTGGCTAAGAAAATGAGTCAGGATACCTGTGAGCTCAACGTCCCCATGGCTTCACGGCCACACTTCAGGTCAGACACAGTTAATCAGCTGGTGAGATAAATCCATTCAACTTAACGGAGTTTGAACTTTGATGTGTCAGCTGTCCAATCCTGGTGCGCTAGGGCCGCCATCCTGCACGGTTTAAAAGTTTCCCCACATCAGCGGAGTTGATTTTAATCAATGCACGATTAGCAACCTCCTGCAGTGGTGGACGGCATGTTGAACAGGAAGTTTGACCATTTAAACAGATGTGATGCAGCAGGGAAACAACCAAAACATGCTGGACAGTGGTCCTCAAGGACCAGGATTGGACATAACTTGTTCAATATATTACATTTTGTTATAAACTTGCAGCTTTTGTTGTCGTTTAGTCTTTTGCACCTGTTGGTACTAACGTTGAGCCATGCACAGACTTTAAAGAGGCTTTCTTTGCTTTGCATAGAGTTCAGATGTTTCCTATTCCTGCGCAGCAAACCAGGAAGCCTGCTGAGCCAGAACCATTGTCCACACAAATATGCTTTCAATAAAAGGTTTTTTTTGGTGTTATTCCTTGTAAACAAACACAAACAAGCAAAACACAATAAACCTGTGGGAAACCTTTCGAATTTCTGACTAACAGTAACAGGAGTCACAAACCAGATTTATTTAATAAAATATGAACTTCTTCAAAGACGGTGTACGTTATGATCATCAGTCATTTGCCACATTAATGGGAGGTTGTTGGTTTGATCTCCATGACCACGCAGAACTTGTGTCCACTTGAAGGGACCCGAAGAGGCATGACCTTCCAGATGACCTCCAAATGCCGAAAAGCGGATGGTCACCATTAGCGGTCCTATCACTTTCTCTTTAGCACACATCCAGAGTAACCCTCAGTCCTTCACTGACCAACCCAAGATCAAGGGTCACGGTTCAAACTGGGAGCACATTAACATGCAGATGTTGACTTTTAAGAGCACGAGGGTTTTTGCTTGTGGGACCACTTTTCAAGGCCTGCACATCCTGAGGACATGACCTCGACCTTTACTTTGCAGTATTGTGTCTGCTCATCGTAATCACTGCTCAGAAGAAAGCAAGTGGTCTTTTCCAGGAGAGCATGACCTTTGGCCTTCAGTTAAGGGTTCAAAATGGACCCAGGGCACAGAGATACACTCTATTTAGCTAAAAAACACACCAAATCCCTGGTAAGGAGCTTTTATGACACATTTAATTATTCACAAGTTACAGCAAAAGGTAAGAAGTGTATTTTCATCAGACGTGAAAATAGACTACAGCTAGATCATCAGTAAGTGTCACGATGCTGAATGATGAAAAACACGACAGCCACTCATTTCACGATCATGTTGTTGTCATTTAAAAACAAACATTCATGTTGTCATCAAACAAATCTAAGCCTCTTTTCCTGAGAAAACAAGATACAACTAGCTGGTTATCTGAAGAAAAAGAGAATCATCAACTTGTGATTAAATCACAGTAAAACACGTCACTAGAAATCACAGCCGCGGTTATTTAGGGTTCTCTCTCTGCAGGAGATTCTTTTTTAGGCCACAATTGTTCTTAAATCCAGCAGCAGCAGCAATAAAATGGAAGATATGCACCAGTGATTTAGGCAGCAAAAACAAACTCTTAGCAGATAAACAGAACAGAATGTCAAGAACAAAATAAAAGGACAAAGTGACTAAATAGTACGTCAGGTTTCCGGAGTCATCAGAAATGCTGGTGGGAAACTGTTCGTACCAGGCTGTGTTGCATGACATGTGGTACTTTTATTAACGTGCCTTTCTGTGTGAAACAGTAGATCTGTTCAGTGGTGATTCATTACCATCAGCCTGCCTACATGGAGGCTCGCTCGCGTTTGTGTCACTGAAAACACAACACTGCATGTTAGATGAGACACGTTGAGTTTTTACGGAGAAACTTGGCCAAAGCTGCTAAAACTAGTTAACTTTCTCTTTAAAGAATACTAAAAAAACAGCAGTTTGGTTGTTTGTTTTAAAGACTGGAAAGATTCTGCACATTCTCACGTGTTTTTTTTTTAAACACAGAAACGTGCTCCCTCCTTTTACATTTCATACCTTTGATCGACTTTGGGACTGATTTCGAGGAAACTAAATTGGAGCCTGAGAAGTGAACATGTGGGCTTGTTTATCCTAATCTAGAACTTGTTTTTACTCAGACGTGTGCAGACAGCAGAGAAAGAAACCTTATCCATGCCCCCCACCCTCCAGAAACAACCCCTCTACTGTCTGTGTATCTGAGTGCTTTATTACAGGCTCCTGCACATACGGTTCCTAAGGCAGAACTGGAAATGACACTGTGTACGCTTCCTTGGCTTTTCCTTGAATTTCCCCTCTAATGTCAGCATGTAATGTGTAAAAGTGTCATAATGGGTTTGTTGATGCTTACGTAAATCGTTTTGCTCTGGATTTGTGCAGTGTTTGTCAGCTTCACAGTTTTGAAGAATTTTGATTTTAACTCCATTTAAAATTTCTCAGAATTCTTAACTTCTGTGAAAATTTTCAGTTTTCCCCCCTAAAATTTCTCCATGTTTTTTTTTCACATTTATGAAGGAAAAAAACAATTTAGGGGAAAATGTGGAAAAGTTCAAAACAAATTAGCTCTTTTATTGTTTAAAATTCTATTCTGGAACCTTGATGGAGGTAAAGGTGCAGGGGTGACTCGGGGGGGGGGGGGGGGGGGGGTCTAGGGAGGGCCAGTGCCACCCTGAAGGCAAGCATCTACCCACCTACCCTAAATATTGATACAATTGGATACTTTTACAGTGATGTTGTAGCTGTGGAGCGAAAGTGTGTGGATTAATTTATCTGAGATTGAAAGGAGATGCTTAGACAAATATTTTCAAGTTATCTTTCAGATAAATAACTTAATTAACACTTTTCTTTTTCAAATTAGGCTTATATTGAAACTAACTGAAAGGTTTTTGTTTATAAATGGCCTGTATTTGTATAGCATTTTGTTAGGGTTCTACAACCCACCAAGGTGCTTCACAACACAATCAGTCATTCACCCATTCACACGCTGGTGGGGATGAGCTACGATGTGGACACAGCTGCCCTGGGGTGCACTGAGAGAGGCGAGGCCTGCCATACACTGGCAACACCGGTCACTCTGACAACCACCAGCAGGCAAATTGGGTTAAGTGTCTTGCTCAATGACACAACAGCAGCATTCTCTGGTGGAAGTCAGGATCAAACCTGCAACCTTCTGATTACTGGACATCCCGCTCTACCTCTTGAGCTACTCCTGTCCCATTAAATGTAAATGGGCCCCAGTCCCCGCTAGTGTAAGTCTAGAACCTCACCTGGAAAGGAGTGAAAAATGTGGCAGCGTTATCGTCAGCTCAACGTTTTGGTGACGGCTCCAGGATGAATGGGGCAGAACCCACATCTTCACAGGATAGTGATGGAGAAGATACGATGATGTGGAGTCAGCACTTTTGTTCATTTTTACTTGACAGGATATATCGTGATACTATTGTTAGTTTTACATTACTCAGTAGTTGAAGTTCTGACCAGAAGTATTGCAAATGATCCAATCATTTGTTTTAAATGAAGGTTCACCAAACATTGTTTGCATCATGAAATTTTTTAACCTGGCTCCAACAAGACTAGCTGTTAGCTCATCGATCTGGATGGAGTACATCTATATTCCTCCAAACTGAGGCCATTCTATAAGAACCATCTATAACAGGTATCATTTGATCACAACTGTTTTGCTGTAATTCACTGTTTAGATTTGAACCCCATGTTCTTAGTTTGTTTGTGTCATCACCGGCCTTGTGGAGAAGGCAGCATTTTACCCAAACTACTAACATTCTTTTACAAAGTGATGTGGAAACAGGCAGAAATGCATCAATAATTCAGCCACAAACACAAAAATAGAGAAAAGATAGCAGAGCTATTTAAAGAAAAGGGCCTGAACACGCTGCTCCTCTTTAAGAGTATGTTTATTCACTCAAAAATACATGATATGTCTTAAACAAAATATATTTGGGGTTTGAAGAACGTAAATCGTTAGTGTTCGTGAATAAAGTGAACTCTTGAGATGTGCAAAAAGTTTCATTATTTTCACATGTCAGCTTTTAAAGCACCAGAAATAATTAATCAGCCCCATGAGTTTTTATTCACCTTTAAAAGTGCTGTGTGCTGCTTATTTTTAAAATCCCAGCAGGGATTTTTGGTCTCGTGTTTCACATTCTTGGAAAATCTTCACAACTGCTGCCTCAATGGAAAAAAGGTGCTCATCCTCCACCTCGGGACAGCAGAGCCTCATGAACTCTGCGAGTCGATGTAAATATTCAATATTGTGACCCGTGTTGCCGCTGCAGATGGAGATCTGTGCAGCGATCTCCTTGTCCGACGCTGGACCCAGGTAGATGGGGTTCTCAGAGGTAGCGATGTAGACGAGGGCCAGCAGCGAATCCGGACTCTTCTCTTTGGGTATGAACTCCACCATCTCTGTTGCGTAACCTCCCGACAAAACCTCTCTCACGTTTAGGTACTGAAGAGATTCTTCAATCTGACACTCAGGCACTTCGTATGCGACGCCCCACGTGCAGGCCTGCAGGTGGGATAGACAAACTTGTTTTCGCACTTTGGAATTCAGAACACAGAAGAGCACAGAAAACAAGAACATCTGTCATTAATCCTGAATATCCCCAGCCTATTTTAAGTGGCACCTTTTGGTCTAGATTATAAAAAAGGTATATAGGCTAAGTAATCCATATGTGTTTCTATCATGGAACAGTAGTTTATGATCACACAGTTAAGAATATAATAAAGACATAGTTTAAATAATAATAATAATAAATTGCTAATCTGATTATAGAAGTGCTTGTTCTGGGACAAAATACTCACCTCTTGATCTGATACAAGTGTGACAACTCTGCCAGGCTGGAAAGCAAACAAGTACACACACACACACACACACACACACACACACACACACACACACACACACACACACACACACAATCAATAAATGATCATTTATTTCTGATGAGTTAACAGGATCTAATTTGAAGTAGTCTCACCTTTTCTTTGTCCCCTCGATGAAAATCATCCCCGTGCCAGAACCTTCTCTTGTATCCTTTAATGTATCCCACTTTGCTTCTGTTGTAAGCAAATCCTGGTTTCCAGACTAAGGAGCCGTATCCAAATATCCACAAGCTGCTTTTTCCCTTTACAAGATCGTGAAGTTTCATTCTGGTCTCTTCAATCCGTTTTTGTTTTTAAAGTCACTCACTTCCCCCAACAGGTAGCTCCCCAAGTCCTGTTATTTTCTATTATCCATACTAATAGCTGCCCGGGTTATTAAGCACCAAGAGCAGAAATCCGCCCCCACGTGTCATTTAGAAAGAGGAACGTTTATTTTTCCACCTCAGCTTCGGTTTAAAATAAACTCGGACCAGCAAATGCTCTTTATCTCCCCTCCCGCCTGAACGTCAGAGAACAAGCACGTGTGTTTGTTGTTCAGGCTTCTGGGAGCGACACGAGCTCAACCAATCAAATCGCAGAGGGGCTGGACTAAGAGAAAAACCAGCCAGTCAGCTTTTTTATCTGTCTGTTTTCAAATATTTGAGCTTCATAAACACCACAGCTACGTTCTCAAAAGGGGCACTGGGTTCAAGACTGAAATAAAAACACATCTTTAGCTTTTTTCAAATGTATAAGCTAATTTATCAAATGTAAATCATTTTGATTAAAAAAAGTTGAAGCTTTTTGCACAAATTAGTAAATAGGCTATTGTTACATGCAAGTCCTTTGTGTTTTTTTATTCTCTCTGTAAACTCTAAGATGTAAAAGGTGCTCACAAAAGGTCAAACAGTCAATACCAGCAGATAATCAAATCACCTATAAATAGCTGGGAGCGTTATATCTGTGCTCCCTAAAGCTCATTACGAGTCTGTGTTCTACATTGATGCATCTAACCCCATTGTTCCCATGCAGGCTGATACATGGTACATGTGTCCTCTGTTTGTCCCTGTGCTTGATACCAGCCTGGGTGAAAAAGGAAGACAAGGATTCTGAACGCCACACTAATCCTGCTGCCGCCAAGTGGCTATAAGGCCAAGTTTGTAGGAGAGTCTTGCACCTTTTGCAGGGTTGTGCTCCTTTACGTTAAGCCTTTCTGCGCTGACTCACTCCACTAGCTAAAGGTTTTGAGAATAATGTAGCTTTATGCCTCAGTAATCATGAAGGCATTTGCATAAAGTCAAAAAATGCTAAAAAGTATGTGAAACAATTGCGAATGCTCCTATTTGCCACAAAAACGAACTCAAACGATTTCTAGATCAGTTTGTGCTTCAGGGTCTCAAAGTTGATGCAGTTGCACTGCCGGTGTCAGGAATAGCAGCAAGCAGGTGTGAGTGAATCTGTGGGATGATGGCTTTTGGAGGATGTCCTGGTGTCAAGGGGGGCAGAAAAGAAACCACTTTTTTCCCCAAGTAAACGTCAGGGACAAACTGTTGTTAGGTAAAAGGTTCTGGAATTGGACTACAGACCAGGGGCGGCGTTAGGCCCGGCTATTTGGGCTGAAGCCCCGGATGTTTCATGAAAAGCCCCGGATCTAAATCGCAGAAGTAACATGCAGTACCAAAGTCCAACAGAGAGGGAGCAGCTGGCAGTAGTTTGTATACAGCCTGCCTGAGCCTCCACCACTGAAGAAGAAGCCCTTCAGCAGCCGGCTTCTTCTACGGTCTCTGCCTGAAACGCATCTGTGAAGATGGACATAAGGACGTTTTTTAGACCAAAAGTACGGCGACAGAACCCCAGCTTTGATGAGACTGGTGTTGACTCAGGTTTGTGAGTCTTATTTGAAAATATTTGTTGTGCTGCTGGTTTGCCTAAAGTTAGCTTATCAGGTAACGTTGTTGGAGAAAGAAAGGGAATATTTACTATCATCTCACACTAAACACTAACAGGAACACTACTCTGCCCTGAAAATGCTTATTATGTAGCTTCAGATGAAAAATTATGTGGTAAAAGTCATATATATGATGTTGACTAGTGCGTGTCACGTGTGTGTGTGTGTGTTAAGCCCCGGATCTTCTTCAGTCCTAAATCCGCCCCTGCTACAGACTGGTCTGAAGTCATATTCTTGGATGAACCCTTAACATTTTGGGGCCAATGGAGAAAGAAAAGGTGAGCACTACCATCAGACTTGTGTCATGCCGGTTGTAAAGTAACCATTTTTATTTGAATAGGAGGAAAATTACCCGTCCATGAACAATTCGTTCCATCTACCAACTTTTTGGAGAATCTTCATTTAACTGTTAATACAAGCCAATGAGCGGAACGTCAAGAACAAATTAAAAGGACAAAGTGAAATTTTGTGAAAGCCAACACTTGTGTTGTTGAATCTTTTGGCTATGAATTACGTTAAGGTATAAATGAAACCACAAGGGCTCTTTATTAGACTTTTAAGTATTTATACTTGAAAAAGTCTTCACATTGATCTCCGCTGAATGGAATAGAACTGTTTCCACATCAAACGGGACAATGATGGCATAATGGACAATGATAATATGTCCATTAAAATATTACCAGGACAAATATTATTCCACCTAAACAACGAACCAATGTTCACGCCAGCTGACACAAACTGAGTTTCTTAAGGAGGGCAACATTTATTTTTTAGACTGAATCACGGACACACTCGCCAACTAAAGAGCAACAAAAGAACAGTGTACCAGGAATGAGTTCTGTGTCTTTTTATAGCAAAATAGAAAATAACAATAATATCATAATAATTAAACAAGACACCAAAACTAATAAAAAATAAATTCACCTTTTATGTATCATCAACTTAAAACACATGTGCATGTCTAACCTCGGCATATAAATATACATTATATACACAAAACATCTTAGAAAACAAAAAGGATCAGTGCTTCATTCAATTAAATTACTAATGAAATACTAATCTTAAAAACAACATTATTGGTTCAGTCGTTTTCACTGAAGGCGTCCTTGGTTTGATGGTCACTTCATCTGTGTCTTTGTCTTTACTGGGATGCATACAAAGATTCAAGGCCCAATCATATATTTCCCTGCAGAATGTTTCAGTATATTGCAACTTTTGTTATTGTTACCTCCAAGTTTCTGTGCAAAGGAATCAAAATAAGGCAGGGCACAAGGGTTTTCCTTATATGTACATTTAAGGCTTTGTGATGTCAGCATACATTCTTTATAAAAAATTCAGTTTTACAACTAATAAAAGCTGAAAGTTACTCACAAATGAACTGTTTTCAGTAGTTTTTTTTTGTGTGTGCTACTGTTTGCATAGTACACTGCATGTCCTGGCATGTTGATTGGTTCCTGATTACTAGAACAATACATTCTGCTCATTCTCGTTGCCTTATGAGTAACTTGGGCAAAGCAGATCAGGGTTTGGGACAAAAAATATCAAAGGCAGATCGGTGAGCCAGATTTCTTCCTTTGATCCTACAATATTTTGTTTCAGTCTCACAAAACAACCATGAGCTTTAGTTCTACTGTAGTCAGACGTCCATCCAGTTATCAAGTTTTCAAGAGCAGCATTTGAGTAAATCCCAGTCTCTTCACACTTGTAAACAGTCCACAAGGGATCCAAACTGGACAATGAGTAATGTTCTGATTATTATACCTGAAAGACAAGATTTAAGATGTAAATGTGTGTCCTATTTTCTTTCAGAATACTTTTAAGATGAGAACACTTACCTCAGTAGCGATAATGCACTCGTTTTTCTCCTCTCCTATGACAAAGACAGACTGGTAGATTGAGTCCCTGGAGGAACATATTGTTGATATTCTACATTCTGGCCTTTCTCTGTAAAAGACAAAAACATTACATCAGTAACAAAATCAGTTATGGTGATAGAATAATGAAAAATGTAAGTATGCCAGGGACAGCCATCATATTCGTGCCTTTACCTGTACATTCTACTTAATTGCTTCTGTTCTGCTATCGTCCTTTCACAGTTTTCATCTTTGTCCAAAAGGGACAGCTCGTCCTTGTACCTCAGGGAGGATTTATAGTCCAAGTGATAGTGATTGATGAGTTTATGATTGGACTTCTCTGTAGGACAGTCCGCGTCCAAATCAATCTTCTTGTTTGTGTTCTTGAGCTCAGCGGCAGAGATAAGGTTCTCTTTCTGAAAGTCTGCCTTAGAGATGTTGTTCATTGTCTTAGAGTCCTGCTCCTTGCTTTTTCGTTGCGTCATGTTACGTACAAGCACCAGCGCCAAGCAGAGAAACACCACAACAGCCACCAGACCAACGCTTGAGCCAATGGCAACAACGTTCAGCTTTTCATTGGACTCCAAGGCTTTGTTGGGGCTGGGAGTATTGGCTGAGCTCTGACCACCATACTGGCACTGGGGACCGCTGTAGGAAGTGGGGCAGATGCAAGCAGGTTTGCCCATGGGTCCACGGGTGCAGGTCCCCCCATTAAGGCAGAACTGAGAGGCACAGTGGTTTGTGGGCCTATCACAGTGGCGTCCGGTGTAGCCTGGTGCGCAGGTGCAGGTGTAGCCATTGATGCGATCTATGCAGGTGGAAGCGTTTGCACACGGGTTCCTGGCGCATTCGTCGATGTTGATCTCACAGCGCAGTCCGGTGAAACCTGAGCGACAGCTGCACAGCCTGAGGCTACCGTGAACCACACAGTGTCCACCTATGAAAACAAGCAAATACACTTATTTATTAGACTCCAGTAATTAAGATTGATTTTAGATGCAATAAGACCGGGATTTACCATTAGCACATTGCAGTGAGGTACATTTGTCCATTTTCTTCTCACAGTTGAGCCCAGTGTATCCAGCTGGACACTCGCATGTGTAACTAAGGCCGTTGTCCCTCTCTGTGCACGTGCCTCCATGAAAGCATGGCCTATCTACACAAGTCAGTACCTTGTGTTCACAGAGTGGACCTTCAAATCCTTTAGGGCAAACACACGTATAACCATTCTCAGAGTCCTGCAGAGGATAAAAAACATGGAAATGTTCTGTCAAATTATTTTTTCTCCTTCAAACAACTGCCTCCCATTCTCCTCAGTTTGAAATCTATTTACAGTGCAAAGTCTGTGAACTGGGTCATGTAACTTGACAATCGATAGCATCCTCCTGTAGTAGCAGATAGACCAAGGCGAAAACAAAAACAGGAAAGCCTGCGCTGTAAAGGAGAGAGAGCGACTTCCGGACTCACCAGGCAGTGGCCTCCATTGAGGCAGGGCTCGCTGTCACACTCCCTGACCTCAGAGTCACAGTTAACCCCAGAGAAGCCTGGCAGGCAAGCACAGGTGTAGCTACCCTCGCCTGTATTCATGCACGTTGCCCCATTTACACAGGGTTTATGATGAGTGCAGTAGTTCAGATCTGTCAACAAAAGGGTGAAAACATTACTAATGAAGCCAAAGAGAATCGAGCCGCTTTATTTTGAGCAGCCAGTCTCCTGTGTCATTTAGAGATGAGGTAGAGTGCTCACCTTGGTCACAAAAGATGCCTCCCCAGCCTTCCTTGCAGGTGCACTGCCACGGCTCTTTACAGGTACCATGTTTACAGGACGGATGAAGTTTACACACATCACAAAAGAGTCCCTGCCAGCCCTTTCTGCATCTGTTCACACATGAAACATGGCAGTTGGCTCAAACATAAACTTGCACTCACTCACAAAGGCCAGTGGACTAGAAACAGGTGAAGAATGAAAACGTTCTGTGTTTACACCATGCTGTCATTTTATTTACTAAAACTGAACAGAAATGCACAGTTTATGTGTTTATTTTATATAAATGTAAGTGCATTTTTAATCGTTGTTTGACACTCACTTGCACTCTCCTGGGACTGTACAGTTTCCATTATTTTCATTGCAGCCTTCCAGACAGATTGCTGTAAAAGAAAAACAAATATGAAATTTTATCTATTTAGACATTAAAAATAATCAAAATGTCACACCTCCTGTTAATCTTTTCTTACAGACCTTTTACCTGAGCTCTTTCATTAAGAGATCATTTATTTCTGCCCCTGTCACAGATTTTTCACGGTGTTTGCCTTTTTTTTAAGCGCGTGTGGTTTGAGCGCAGCAGATGCTTATTCTCAGAAAAGGAGGACAGCTGCACCCATTGTTGTCGGAGGACGGTTCGAGCCCCGCGTGCAGCTGCTGCCCTGCACCGCCTCAACAAAAGAACCCTCAATTTAGTGGCGCGTGGCGCCCGATAATGCCGCGATTAACCTCGGCGCGTGCTGCAGAGCGACCACCGCCCTGGATTAAAGCGCAGGCGCTCAGAAAGAAGCAGCCTCAGATTTATTTGATATACTTATATTATATACATAATATAATAGGTTTATTTAAGTATAAATCTGAAAAATAAATAAAATGTTTATGATTTTAAGCCCATATTTTATATCAATATAACAAATAAAAATCACATCTTCACGTTTTCTTACGTTCTTCGCAGTAATGTCCCTTCCATCCAGGCAGACAGTCTATCTCCCCGTCAGGTTTGCAGGTGTAGTGGCCAAAACGATCGTCTCTCTCTGCGCAATATTTGGAACAAGTGTCCCCGTAGTAATTGTCTTTGCAGATGATCCGGTATGAGTACCTTAGCTCCGTCTGCCTCCCGATCTGCACATCCTGGGACCACTCGGACCCTATTTCCAACTTTCCTCGAATGGAAAATGAGCTGATCAAGAAATCAGCTTTGCTGGTTTCTGTGAAGAAAAATGCACAACTTGAACTCATCTGACACTATATCAAAAAAAGAGACTGTATTAAAATGATATATTTTTTTCATAAGCTTTATTTTTTTTTTCTTTTGCTATAAACAACCTAACAAACAAAGGTGTCAAACTCATAAAAAGACTCGCAATGGGAATTCTGGCAAGTGTTCATATTCAAGCTTAAACCACTTTTCCCACGCATGACAGAAATAAAACAAGGGAAGTGCATTGTGTTGGAGATATTTAGTGTATAATGAATGTGGAGTGATTCATAAGCTATCCTAACAAACGATGAAATTCTTTTACCAGAACCGGCGATTTCAACGTGCGATAAATCTAAGTGCGATTGTGTCTCTCTCTAGTGGCAAGACAAGGAATGTCAGCCTCTTACCTTTAGTCTGCCCCGTTGACGAATCCCAGGCTTCAATGTCTAACGAGAAAGCCCCCTGTGGGAGGAAATAGTACACAAACATGAGAAAAAAGAATGCATTCTTAAAGGCACATCTATGTGATTGTAATGATATTTGATTTGTTTAGGTAATTTAATACATCTGGGTGCAGAGTAGCCTTGATAATTTTAATTCAACCAAAAGAAGAATAAACCAACAGAAGCTGACATTTTTCCTTAACAGAGAAACCTGCAAAACGTTTAAAATGTGACAGAAGAAGAGCTTATTTTCTGGGATGCGAGTTTTTGAATTTTTTTTGGCACAAAACAAATTAGCACGTCATAAAATCATCAGACTAAGGCCTACTAAGTTATTTAAATTAATTATTTTCTTCTGCACAATGTTCTCCTGCGTAAAAAAATCAGTGCGCTCGCGCGCGGCGGAGAACACGTTTCTTACCGGCCAGGTGAAGTTGAGAGGCAGGCGCAGCCTCGCGTGCTGCTGGATGCTGAACGAGTCGGTGCCCAGAACAGGTGTGCTCTCAGTCCCAAATATGCACCTGCCAGGAGACACCTCCGTCTGGAAGTTCTTCAAGCAAACCTTGAAATAAGTCCTGCAGCCGCTCATGCTGCAACTGCGTCCATTTGCCAGCAACCCCTTTGAATTCTGAAAATGATGGAGATCTATCTCGAACACGCTTGATCCCAAAACCTAAACAGAAGTTCACAGTGAGCATTTAACAATCATTAATTTTTTTCATAAAGCTGTTTGCGGGTAAAAATACCTGAGTGAATGACATCATAACTATTGCGGTGATAGATGTGAACCAATCGGCCATCCTTTAGAGTTTAATGTGCGTATCCCAAAAAAATCAGTCCACCCTTCTGAAAATCGTTTCTATTCCAAATTTATTCAACCAATTTGATAAAAAACAAAATAGATTCCGTCTCCCAAAGCCCGTAGCACATCCAGCTCCACGATCCGTCCGTATCCAGAAGAAAAAGTTGGGAAAAGCCCGAGTTATCCAGTTGCTGTAGGTTAGACAATTATCAGAAACGTAAATATCCACAAGTGAGTCATTCTGCGGTCTTTATGTTGGCCATCCATCGTGGCGGTCAGCTGGTGTTTGACTTTGCCGTGCTTATGCGGGGTTTGCGTTGCCAACGGTGATGCGCGGATGTGGCGGAGCATCGGCGCAAAGTGACTCCCTGTGAGAGACGCTCCACGTCCCTCCCAGTTTATATAGACGCTGTGTCAGTGCAACCCTGCCAGTAAACACCCACTCCCCTCTCCACCTCCCCCCTGCTTGGAGAGTAAACATCGTTGTAAGATTTAGTTTTAATTCACCTGCTTCTGCTGAGAAAACAAATCTACTAATTATTTTTTTCAAATATTATTCTACAGATTTTCTTTAAAAGTAGAATTGATGGAAACATAAATCAGTCTTGATTACCTCCTCATGGTGCCGCTTGGGTGTGTGACCCTTTTTCTCACCCTTTCTGTTTATTTTACAAGATAAAGTAGAAGATAACTCCATGCAGGATAATGGATTCGCACTGTAAACACATTCTGTCTCTCATAAATCAGCTGAAAACCTCTCCTTCCTCTCCAGGCAGACTTTATTTATTTCCTAAACTGGAGAGTCATTAGGAATCCCTAACATACACATTTGCATGCATTGACACACACAGATATAATAAACCACCATTCAAAGTTGTTTTTTGCCTATAATAAAAAACAAATAAATGTAAAATGAACCCTGAATGAGGTTGTTCTCACAGCAAAAAAAAAAAAAAAAATCCACGTGTTTAAATGAAAGCCAACAACGTATCCTGAGTTTGTTGAGCTAACATTCAGAGCCAGCAGTTATATGGATAACTGTTCCAAAAGAGGAAAGAAAATGAACTGGAAAGTGTATATAAAGTCATCTGAATAAAGAAATTCAAATGCAACGTGCACTTTTATAACAAGCTCACGCACACTGAGCACATGCTTTGTTAGCTTGATCACCCCTGCAGCAGATCGACCTGATCTGGGAGGATTTACAATGAGGGAACAGGATCTGAGAACCGTTCTCTGGTCCAAAAGGTGTAAACAGCTCTCCTGCCGAGGTGACTTCATCCCTCCCGTAAGCCCAGCCTTTGATTTATCGTTTAGAGGTTTAGCTTCAGGGTACAGACAATGGACCATTGAGTGTGGGGCAGTGTGAGTAAGAGGCCCGGACATCTCATACTTCTTTGTAATTGAAGTATTTGCCGTTCCCACCATTGACCGTATCACACAGATCCAGGTGGATCAATGTGCGCAACAGTGGAATCGTGAGTGTTTAATTTGAATTCACTTTTAGGAGGCACCATTGGCTGCAAAGCATCATCAAATTACAACAAGAGTAGAATAACAGCCCCCCCCCCCCCCCCCCCCCCCCCCAACACACGTCAAAACATACATGCACTTTAATATTTGATGGCCTGCGGTTAAGGTTTCTCTTCTGTTGCTCAGGTTACAGCTTGTTGTAAAGCAAATGGTCTGTGCTAAACAAGAGGTGCTACAAAGACCCATGGACCTGGCATGGAGAAGCAACTTCCTGGAGACGCAGGATCTCTCCATGTGATTTTATCAAACTCTCTAATCTTATTGTTATAATTTAAATAATTTATAATAAACAGATCCTGATTTTAAGTGACGTTTAAAGGAGACATATTAGGACTTTTTATCTTAAGTTATAATAGTTCTATGGTCAATACAAAACATGACCATGATGTTCTTTGCATAACATCCCTTCCATGTGAATCAATTTCAGCATTTATTCTTGACATTTTCAGTACCTTCCAGAATAAGCCATTTCAAGGCTCTGTCACTTTAAGAAAACAAGCTAGAGCTGGCCACACCCACCCCTCCCAAGTTAAGGCTGCCATTGGGAAGCTCCAATATCAGGGAGGGGCTTAGCGTAGAGCCGCTGCTTCTCCAGCCTGGAGAAGTGAGAACGGGTTCTACGCAAATTTGCCTGATTGTGACATCACAAACAGGGATTTTCTGAAATGGCTCATTTGAAATATTCCTAAAACCAAACACTGACAGAAAACAGATGGACAGTTTCATTTTGCGGTGTGTTTAAAGAGACAGTAGAGACCCGCATGGCAGCACAAAAGGATGCAAAAGGTGAGTTTTGCATTAGATGGCCTCTTTAGGTGCGTAGCTAAAAGGGTTATTTACTTTTGGTTATTGAAAACAATAAGTGGCTCTTTTTTGCTGCCCTAGAATAAACACAGCCTTGGAAACAAACACAACCTCAGTTCCATCTGCAGCTTTGTGTGGATCACCATTTTTCTTTGTGACAGTGCTTTGCAAAGCTGACTTCTAATTGTTCTGTCATCTCAGCTGCGCCTTAAAAAATCATTTAGAAATATGCAGACTGAAAAGTCTTTAGTCTTTGGATGCCTGCAGCTTGCAGTTGTTTAGTTAATTGGACAAATTATGTGTTTTATTTTCTCCCCAGACTGACTTCATAACAAATTATAAATCCTAAAGTATGTTCGAAGTCCCATCAGTCAAACATATGAAGCATTCGCTTGTGTTGAGCATGTGCTACTTCACTTTTCATATCGCAGAGAGAGAGAGAGAGAGAGAGAGAGAGAGAGAGAGAGAGAGAGAGAGAGAGAGAGAGAGAGAGAGAGAGAGAGAGAGAGAGAGAGAGAGAGAGAGAGAGAGAGAGAGAGAGAGAGAGAGAGAGAGATAGTCTTGCAGAACGCTCTCGAACTCCCTGACACCGGTCACACCAGCATGCTGTTGACACTTATTTCCAAAACACACATGAAAGAATTTTTGTGTCCTTCATATATTTAACAGGGATCAAAGACCTTGAATAAAATTGTCCTCTGCGACATACTGTTTATTTTGTATTTATGCTGGACACAGAGTGCCTCCTCCAACATAACTCAAAACTGTAACTTGTGCTAAAGTGTTCATTTTCTGTATTTTATCCTCCAGCATTTCACTCTGGACACACCACAAACAATGGACGAGGGCAGTAAAAAATTAGCTACAGTGGTAACAGATGGTCGCCCCTAGTTTAGAAATCTGCTCCAGTTTAACACTTCTTTACAGCACATTTGATCTCTATGCCCCAATCTGTTGGGCCAATCAATGGGAGCTTTTGATGTGCGCTGCCAATAGGTCTGAGGCTTCTGAGCATGTTGTTCTGGGAGGAGAAATCACCTGCTGTTGCAATTAGACAAAACAAGTGGTGGTTTCCTGCTCTCGCACCGCCGTGCTGTCCAGTTACAGATGAACATCTAGAAAGCTGTGCTTTAAAGACTTGATTTAAATCAATGGGATTGTAAAGCTGAAGAATGAAAAAACTATCCAGTGTAAAAAAAAGATAACAAGAAAGAAGTGTCTAGATGAACCTCTTCATTCCCACACAAAGAAAATGTATTTATTAGCTTTTTAAAATATTTATTAGAGTCAATGAGGGTTATATTATAATGTAGGCAAACATAGAAAATAAATAAACATTTATACAATAAAATATTTTAAAACATAAAAAATACAGATTGTAAAAATAATACTAATAAGGTATACTCATGATTTTTCCTTAATGTGCATGCTTCAATAAGATATCAGGACTGAACTCCTTTTTCATGATGTTTTCCTGCCCTTTAAAAGATAAAAGTTAAGATAAATTTACAGAAAAAAGTAGAACATATTCTAGTATAAACTCAAAATCTCAAGAAAATATGTCAATTTCATACTAGTCAGAGGAAGTGAACTCCATTGCAGTACTCGCCTCAGTTGTATTAGTTCTTTTTTATTATTATTAATGTTATAAGTGACAGTTATAATTGTCTTTTAACAAAATAGACTTAGAAATGTAGGCTTTTGATACCATACCATTTATTTATAGAGCACATTTATAAACAGCATGACAGCTGACCAAAGTGCTGTACAGCAAGGAACAGAGGAGCTCCATAAAAAAGAAATAAAATCAAACAACCTAAAAATAAGATTAAAAATGAATTAATAAAAGTGCCATCACAACAATAATGGAACGAATAAACAACTAATGAATAAGAAGACACGGGACTAAAAAATATGAGAAAATAAAAGCAGGGAAAGCACTGAAAAACATCAAAGGCAATCATTCCTAGGATATAGTAAAACTAGGTCAATGACCAAAGGCAAGGTGATAATAATAGGTCTTCAACGCCGACTTAAAACAGCCTAGTGAAGGGGCCTGTCGTACGCATTCCAGAGTTTGGGGGCAGCAAAAGAGAAGATTTGCTCCCCACGAGATTTGTAGTGCACTTCGGGATGCACAGCAGTAGCTGATCTGCTGATCTAAGGGATCTAGAAGGAGTATACGGTTGTATTGGTTCAGCGAGGTAAGTGGGAGTTGGGCCATTCATTGCTTCATAGACAAAAAGTTGGATTTTGAACTGTATCCAGTACTGCACAGGTAACTGGTGTAAGCGGGCGAGGATGGGAGTAAAGCTTGGTTTATGCTTGACGCATTTACTTGCCGCTTGGTGATGCGGCTCGCGGATAGAAGGCGCTTCACAACTCGCAGCGTTTATGGTTCATGCGGCTTGTCTCTGCGGTGAGCCAATATTCTCCCAAACTGAACGGGGCAGCAGGGAGCTCTACGGCATGCATCCAACACTACACCATAGTAGAAAAAGAAATTACTGTTGTTTACAACATGGCATTCCAGCATTTTTAACAGCGTCCTCGTCTTTTCCGACAGTGCGAGCTATTTCTCTCCAAGAATTATTAACAACATGTTGATCACGGTGATCTCTGAGAGCTGAATCATACAAATGTCTGTATTTACAAACCTCTGCCATACTAGTTCTTGCCGGTCCGCCATGTTTTTCAGCGTCCGACCGTCCACGTGGTTAGAAAATTTCCTAGGTGCGCGTTGCTGAAATTTTGGGCTGTGCGGAGGCGCGGTGGAGGGGCGTGGTTGTTAAAATGACGCAATTTCGCCACGCGGTGCGGACCTCGCGGATGCGTCAAGCATAAACCAACCTTAATGTGACAACGTCTGGAGGTATTTGTGAGGAATCTAGCTGCGGCGTTCTGTACTCGCTGAAGACACTCAATGGTGAGCAACGAGTTGGCATAGTCCAATCGTGAGATAATAAAAGCGTGGATGATTGATTCCAGATGAGGTCTCTTAACTATGGACTTTAAGCGGGTGACGCAGCGCAGTTGGAAGAAACAGGACTTGACAGTAGCATTAATTTATGAGGTCATGGACAGGTCAGAGTCGAGTCTCACTCCCGGACTAGTGACAC